TCTTCTCAGTGAATCTTAAAACCTCTCTGAGGTATATGCTGTCTCTGTTTATGCTTTATAGGTAAGGTGCAGAGGTTAGATAACTATGGGGTAGGATCTGGCTCCAAAGTATGTGTATTCCTAACAACATACATTCCCTATGTTCCTCCATAGACTGGGGAACAGCATGTCCTAATGCATGGAAGGGAGAGAGCATTTGCTTATTCATGGGGGTGCAGGAAGGTCATTATGATGAGAGCCTGGTTTGGAAATGAGAGAGTACAGGATGTGAGATTGGAAAGATCTTGGAAGACCTTGTTTGTTTTCCTTGCTAATGTACTTAGAATTTGGCCTAAGAAAGAGGATGGTAGAGCATCACTGGGCAAAGGAGTGCACATTTGCATTTAGAACAGTTATTTTGAGGACTGTGGAAAATATACTGGTGTTGACATGGAACAATATGGAAGATGGTGGCAGGGAGCCAGTTTGGAGGTCTGGCAGTAGTTCAAGAGATAAGGGTGTAATTCATTCAGCAAGCATCGGACTTAGAAACTATTAAATATGTTAGCCTAACAAGAATTCTCTATGGCTAAAGACAGAGAAAGGAATCTGTCATGATGCATGGTTCATCCATTGACTGGTAGATAATCTTAAATGTTTTAGGAAGTTAAGGATTGGGAAATGTAGTCACCCTGCTTGACCAGTGCCAGGAAACTGAGATTAGATCAAGATTAGACCTGGCTTTGCCACTCAAGCACTTTCACTGTCCTTCTGAGAGCCTTTATTGTAAGCTCTGTGTTTGACGTTCACACGGACTTTATGTATAAGTGCTCAGGCAGTGCAAAACACATAAGAATTTTCCCATCATTATAGTAAGAAAATAGCACGATGTGCCCAAGGCCATGGAGACTGGCCTAGGAACAGACCTTCTTCCATGCATGCACAAATGGGGAGGGGCATGACAACCTGTTCCCGGTGTTCCGTCTGCCCCCTGGGAGCAGACTCTTCCCTACCCTCAAGCCTCTGTATTGGCAAAGCTCAAATAAGTCTGTTAATTTTTAGTGAGCCAAGTGCCAGAAGTCTGTTAACTATTAGTGAGCAGAGTTCTATTGTCCTTGAGGGACAAGGGGGTGGTGGGGAGGCTCCAGGGAAGAACACTGTTTGCAGGGTTTTGGACCTGTTGATTTTATTTTTGAGACAGGGTTTTTCTGTAGCCCTAGCTAGCCTGAAACTTGAAATGTAGACCAGGCTGAGCTGAATCTCCCAGATATGCTAATGGAAATCAGTACATCACATTTTTCATTACTTTGTTACATAAAAGAGCCCATGTCTGCTAACCTTCAAGTGAATCCGTAAATAGTTCCCCGAGCAGCAAAAATTACAAGAATGTAGACATTAAATGCCAGGCCCTTTGCAGGAAGAAATATGCCTTCTCCCCAACATTGGAAGTCAGATTTTGGCAATAAAGATCAATTAATTTCAAAAAAAAAAAAAAAAGGATAAATTTTACTTGGACCATCTAAAAAGATTAGGGGCCCAGGTGAGCAGAGGCTCTATGACATTCTTGTTCCCTAGTAGCAACGAACTTTTCTTAACAATCTGCTAGACAGACTGCTTCTCTGTCTCCACAGCACTGTGCTCATGTAGAAAGAACCACACTTACGACCTTGTGTTGCATCACCTGCTTGCGTTCCCCAAATGAGTACTGTAAACTCTTAAAAATAATTCCCACTTTTCCCACCATTCTACCCCTTCCTCCTATCACAGAGTTCCACTCAGATGATTCCCAATGGCTGATTACATTTTTTAACTTTTTGAACTGGATGTGAGAGGGGTAACAGGTACATCAGACCCCTCTGCCATTGCACAGTTGAGATCAGGCCTGTGGTTTAAGGAGGTCTGTTTTGGTGCTGTGTTTCTGGAAGTTGTGAGGTCCAGTATCTCTGACATTTGATATAAGCTGATCTTCCCCGGTTATGTGCTAATTTGCCTGTGACTCTGGCCTCATCCTTGCTTAAGCTTCTCTATACTCTGATTTAGACGGATGTAAGTATACCTTGTTTTTCTGAATTTTCTTATGCCTGTTATATATGGCCTTTTATTTACTCCCCTGTTGTCCAGTTTTTCTCTATCTTCCTGTTCCATCAAGAGGCATCAAGCAAAAGATAAAAACCCCTATCAGATAATGTTACTTCATGGTATGGATAACATGTTTGTACAGAAGAAAGTTGTATTTAATACCTGGACTGATTTGGGGGGTGCGCTTATTTATTAGTAGTATACAGGTTATCATGGTTCATAAAGGTCAAATTTACTTTTACTGACATAGTTATTCTTCTTAAATTCCTTCATCTATGAAGTGTTTTTTATTAATTCACTTCCTTAGTGCTTGTGTATTCCTTAGAAACATATTGTAAACAAGAGTTATGAAATTATGAAGTATTTACCAACCACTTCTTAATTACCTGGTGCCTTCTGAAAAATGTTCGATAGGAAAACTGAGATTTTAACTTGTATCTTTACGTGTAGAATAATTTTTAAATGACTCATACAAATTTAATTTTTAAATTTTTGGAATGATTCATACAACTATAAAATGGACATATGTCAGAATTTTATTTCACTCCTTAAAGAGCCAATCAACCAGAAGACAAAACCCTTTTAAAAGAAAATTGTTAGAGCAGACACGTTTATGGACAAGAGGCATGATGAAATGAATTTGCTAGTAGATACAAAATTGGCCAATATCTTCAGTTTTTTAAGAGTGAAATCCATTGAAATTCTTTTCAACCAGGTAGAAATCAGCTGCCAAACAGTATTTACATCTCTGTGGACAAATATTTTGTATTACCTTCAGTGTCCACAATCTACAAAACTATAAATGATCCAGCAGAAGTCAGTGGAACAAATCCTGTAGAATCTGGTGATTCCAGAAGATCTACGGGACATCGCCCAGTACCCCTGACAGGACTCGCAGGGAGCTTTAGTGCCCTTTTTAGAATCTTTTAGGGTATTTTCTGACGTGTACCTTCCTTGTAGCTCCAACATTATCTCTTGACACCATATTCTCATTATGGTTCCTCCCCCTCAGTGATTGTTTCTCTTGGGAAATAACACAATTCTAATGTTTTGGAGACATTAATTGAATACCCAGGTTTTGTGTGGGTCTTCCTCATATTTAGGTGGCTTAAAGGGTAACAAACTGGGAAAAGGTGAGGAGTGGGCATCCCCAAGGCTGCCTCAGGTGGCAGATTCCCAAGAGCTGCAAGAAGGTCAGCTTGTTATAGGAGGTGTTTCATCTCCCAGTCTTAGTGTATTGCTTAGGGAGCATTTCTTAGATGTTTTCTCCTGTAATGCCCCCCACAATTCTAAGTATACACCCAGTGTTTGTTCTGACCCTCTTTATAAAACCAAGGTATAGAAAAGTTAATTGCTAAAACAGCATACCAAAGTGTGCAGGGTATAGGATTTGTGCTTGATTTTATTGAACATTGTCTTGGTCTCATGCCAATGGGCATCTTTATATTCAGTAAGATAGGCATTTATTAATAATAATCATGTTCTTCCAATAATATCGTATGCCATTGATTTTAATTCTAGTTTATATAG